CTAAAAATTCCCAGCAAGTTTGCCGCTTTGCGACTGCACTGTAGTATCGTTGAAGAGTGCGAACAAGTGTGAAAGACGTGCGTGAGGACCGTATTTTGCCTTAGCGTAGCATCAGCACCCTGATCTTCGGCACAATTTTACCATGCTCGTAACAGAATTCGGCCTGTTTTGTATGTGTAGGTCGCTCGTAACGGTAGTGTTTTTGGAATTAATCGTTGCAAAATTTGTCAGCTCTTATGGCCGGTTCATCGTTTTAGAGGAGCGTTTTTCCGTAACAACAGTTACAGCTACAGCTTGACCTAGTCTTCGGGAAGGCGCTTCAGTGTGTTATCTGTTTGATTTCGCTTTTGCATACTGTCTACAAAAGTAATTGTTTGCGACTTTTCTGAACAGCTTCTGGAAAACTGTGCTAGATCCCGAAGAAATAAAGTACAACGGATATTACCTGTGGACCTGCTGCCGGAAAATATGCTGATTCCTACCTTTGAATTGCGAAAGACCTGTGAAGCGTTCTGCAATATGAGATTTTGTAAAAGAAAGCTGTTGAGGGTACCAGAATCTGTAGATTCCTTTTGTTGGACCATACCTTCAACAACCTTCCTCGGTATTTCCTAAGCTGGTTTGATGAAATGGATTGATCAACAACAGCAGACATTTCAGACATTTATATTTTACGAACGGCAAGGTTCCTCATGCTGACGAAAAGCCCTGAAACAGTTCAGATACTGCAGAAGCCCAGTGCGCACAATAAGGAAGTGGGTCTGAAAATCAAATTACTGAAATCGGGGGTTAAAATGTGCTTAGTTCGCATTTCGCGAGGGGTTAGCAAGTGCTTGTAAGAAGTTGACAGCTGTATCTTTCTGGCCGAAAAATTTGGTGAATGTCAGCGGAAGTCTTTCCCGGCGCAACAGCACTGTCTATATTCTCTGGATGTGAAATTAGCAGGATCTTTAATTGTACCGTGACAAGTGCAACGGAATGCTGGTACCAAGGCGAGTTTTCTCCACAAGGCCAAGTGAGCAGGCGCTTACTGTCCTCTAGAAAATGACCGGTACATTTTTCTGCGGTACATATGCATGTGCTCATTAAAGATTGTGCAAAAATGCTGTCGTGGTCAGTTTTGAAGACAAGATTTACGCGACGGAAAAAGCTTGGCCAGTTGGAGTTGCACTTTACGTGGAATCTGCAAGGCACGAAGTCAGTCTTTCAAGGTGTGGCAGATGCACGCAGAAACAACGTGAAACAGGCACCGCAGGACAGTGGTTCTA